TGAAGCAGAGAACAGACAAGTGAGAGATTATATGCTAGCACAAAGTAATGTGTTTTGCGAAGTGTTTTGACTATCGGTGACGACAGTGATGAACTATGAAACGATCAGCTAATACGGCAGTGTAATCAGGTCTTCACAGAACTCTGCTCCTTCATAACACTTCAGCGGTTTTCACTGCAATGCATACAAAAGAACAACACTTCGACTACACGCCTGAAAACAATAATTGGAGCCCACAGTCTATTATCACCAAGGAAGACGTGATGCAATCGCTTAATCATGTCTTGCACCTTCTGAGCTGAGGATGGTGACTAACGGGCTGGACGTAATAAAGGTTCAAGACGATATTAGATGAAAATAATCAAAGAACAGTAAAGGATACCATGTAAGTTACAGGGGTAGCAAAAACTGGCGAAACAAAAATTTAGCAAGAAACTTAACAACTGTCATTCTTCCGATAAACAGACAATATGATTCACTGCAGCTATATATGTCACACTTTAGTATGAGGTGGCATGGTGGTTCAGCAGGTAAAAGGTCGGCTTCGAACTCGAACTCCAGAGGTGTCGAACTTGATTCCCGAGGCTGGCAATTTTTGTCTTTATCAAGAATTCCCTTGAGCAATGAATTTACCACATAATGCTTCAGACCGCGGTAACTCGGTCGACAGAACGTCAGACTCAGAATCGAGAAATTCTGGATTCGAGCACTAGTCAGGATCACTCAACTTTATCTTCTGAATTGGAAAAACAAGTACCATTCTGATGAATGATCAGAAAGGAAACAGGAGAATACAGAGCAAGCTTCTCACATAAGTGCTGCCGATGCTGCTTTAAAAAAATAGGGCACTCCTGGCTGATAACATGGCAAAGGAGATCAGCATCCCCACCGCTCACTTCATAAAAAAGTGATGCAAATGAATTGCAGGTTAACATGGACGATAGCCTCTAACATTCTGAAAATAATATTTTTCAGAGCATGCTGATCCGGTCTCGCCCTGGAAAGACTATGTTGCTGTATATCCCAACTTCATAAGATACAAAATATTTTTTAAGTTTCAACGCAAATCTGAGCAGCAATAACAGCGGCAATCTAAAAAACATGACTAGACAATATATGCTTGCGTGAAGATCCATGAACCAGATCGAAACGTCAGCAACCGGTGCCACGCAACGATGTCACCTATGTTGAACTGCGTCGATAAATGGTACCTCACTAATGCTTTAATACTCATGCACTGCATAATTGTGAAAATCCGTCAGTGATCCATCATTCGAAAGACCTATAACCGGCGTCGCTTGTGGAATGAAACTGTATTGTGTGGATTTTCGAAACTACATCAACAATGAAGGACCGTCATTCTTTATAGGATACACTGCCAGAAAACAATCTAAATGTGAGTATTTCTTATCGAATCAAAATGTTCAATTCGTGCATTTCTTTGCAAGTCGTAGATTGTACAACGAAACTACAAATACACATTTACTACCACCAGTAATTTCATAATGATCCTTTAGTCAATGACTGTTTCAGTCGCAACAGCGATCAGAATATAACAATGATGCTATTAATGAGTAAGAGAACTAAGGTCGTGTTCGAAACTGCTACTATCCAAAGATAACTGTCTTGATGAAAATATTAAATAGGCTTAAGTATTAAGTTATCGAGTTGTCAGAATAAATGT